ACAGAGAGAGAGACACACACAGAGACACAGAGACACAGAGAGAGAGACAGAGAGAGAAAGAGACAGAGAGACACAGAGAGAGAGAGAGAGAGAGAGACAGAGAGAGATTGTGCGTTGAATATTGCGAAGAGGGAACCAGGGATAAAATCCTACTGCTGGGATGAGACGTGGGGCGTGTGGCGGGCGCCCCGGCAGCCCCGGATGGTGATGACGTCACGACTTGTCTACGTCGGCGTAGGCGAGCCCGTGTGGGCGGCTGCTGGCGGCTGGTCCTGGTCCTGAGCTCCAGACCGCGCGGTCAGAGGTCAAGGTCACACGTTCTTGGACACACCACCATGACGTGACCGGCTCGCCCAGGGAGGACGGACTGAGTGGTCTCCAGCAGCATGGATGACGTCAGCACACAGGGACGACGGCGACCTCTGGCGGCGGAAGCGAGCGCGGCTGGTAGGTCGGGGAAACCCGCCAAGTCAAAGACCAAAGGCAAACGTTCGAAACCCTCGCGGGATAAGAACTCGCCTCTGACACCAGGGGACGGTGGTCTGGATTCTGCTCCACCACCACCACCACCCACCACGCCCACGTCACGTGATGCGGCCACGTCAAATATCGTTGATGACGTCACTAGCCGGCTAGCTACGCCCCCTGTGTGTACTGTGTATAACATGAGCACGCCACTTCCGGGTCAGTACCACAATCATGACGAGGGTGACAGCGTCAATGTTTCAGGGAACGAGGTCGTGTTGGATCAGACTCCTCTCTTCCCCTCACCCCCCTCCACAACCACAAGCGCCAAGGCACCCGGCGAGCAGCTAGCTAGCCTGGGGACAGAGCAGACCGAGCAGCTAGCTAGCAGCAAAGAAGGCATAGAGTCGGGCGATCAGCGAGCGGGCAGATCTGATCGCTCCACGGCTCGCTCGCGCAGCTCCTCTGCGCATCGCTTCTCCAGCCTGTTCCGACGCAAGAACAGAAGCAAGTCGGAGGCAGATCTCAGGTCAGACGGGAAGAAAAGAGAAGCGAAAAGCGAGCGGAGAGATGCGAAAAGTGAGCAGAGAGAAGCGAAGAGCGAGCAGAGAGATGCGAAAAGCGAGCAAAGAGAAGCGAAAAGCGAGCAAAGAGAAGTGAATGGCGAGCAAGCTGCCAATAATCCTACAACCGACTCAGAGCTCAAAGACGACTCAGACAAACGCTCTACCCGAGGCCGGCCCGTCTCTGACGTCATCGAGAGCGGTCAGACGTTCGGATCGTCGTCCGGTATCCGGTCAAAGTCTCCTCACCAGGAGTACAGTTTCCGTAACGCGCCGCGCGCCAGGCTGCTCAACATGACGGTTCGAGACGCGCATCGAGAACGTAGCCAGAGAAGGGCGGGCTCTCTACCCCGCCACACACAAGCCGGGCAATCAGAGTCGCCACACACGCCACACACAGACGGGGGTCGCTCAAGCCGCTACCAAACACCCCCCGTCTCTTCCACAGGCGATCTCAACCGTAGCTCCACCTCCGAGGGGCAGGCCGGGCGGTTGGCGGGTGTTCTACCTCGCCACCTGGCGCTAGACGACCACAGATCCTCCTCTCTGCCTCGTCCCAATCGGGGAAACAGGAAGTACGCGAGCGACACGTCGCCCACCTCGCCACTCGGCAAGTCCCCGTCTTTCCCTGAGGTGAGCCCCTACATGAGGGCTCAGGCGGACACCACGCGTGACTCCTTCAGCCCACTCGGTCACGTGACTTCGGGAGAGGAGGAGGATCACGTGGTGTGGCAGGATGCTGAGGATGCGAGGACGCTGGTGGATGTGAACATGACGTCACAGGAGGAGGGGGAGGAGCAGAAGAAGGGGGAGGAGCAGAAGAAGGGGGAGGAGCAGAAGAAGGGGGAGGAGGAGAAGAAGGGGGAGGAGGAGGGTGTGGCGGTCGGGGCAGTTGGAGAGGGCGGGGCCAATGTCGCTGACAGCCGCGCCAAGAGGAAAGCTTCTCTCTCCCAGTTCTTGGAGCTCCGGCACACGCCCAGCGGGGGGTCGTCGTGGTCACGTGAGCGAAAAGCCAGTCAGTCCAGCGACTCGGGGGTCACGTCACGTGACGCTTCACCTCGGCCGTGGAGGGAAAACAGCTCCACGCGAGACGCCACGTCTGACAGCGGGGCGAGTGTCCCTGGAGACACCACTCGCCACGTCACGCGGGATGCCACGTCGCGCCCTGGTTCAAACGTGACGGCAGGAGACGCCACCACGTCCCGCGTGAAGCTAAACGTGGCACAAGACGCCACGTCGGAGGTTGCTCAGCCACAAGAACGTTTGTCTCAGGGAGGAGCCGGGTCGGGTGTCGGGTCATGGGTCACTCAGAGGTCAACAGATTCCCACCAGGGCTGGTCACGTGATCGGCCTGCCGCGCCCAGACTCTCCCTGAACGGTGCAGACCTGGGGGATGACCAGGTGTCGGGACTGACCACACCGCTCCGGCCAATGTCCGGCCTTGGCGAGCAGAACCTGTCCTCCTCTGGCCCGGGGTTCAGCGCGATGACGTCATCTTTCCCATCAAGTGACCAGAGCGAGTCGCTCTCCTCCAGCACAGCGGTCAGTTCCATGACGTCATCGTTTCCCTCCAGTGATCAGGGCTACGTGGACGGGGATAGTCTCCTCTCGGCTGATGACGACAACGACGACGACGATGATGATGACGATAACTCTGCTTTCTCCACACCTCCCGAAGAGCCCGATTATGAGGACGGAGATAAGCCAGGAAGACCTGAAGGTGGTTTGAACCCTGGACTTCTAGACAAGCTGCTGAGGGAACCACAGGCCTGGGCCAAGCGCGGCAACAAGTGGCGCGACGGTGACGTCATCCACGCGCCTGGCCCGCCGGTCAGTGAGGTCAGCGGTGAGCTGAGACAGAGGTACGTCCCGCGCGCCGTGAGGCGCTCCAAGAGCGACGTGGAGAGGAAGACCGCGGCTCCTCCTCCTCCTAGGGTTCTCAACAGGAACATAAGCGAGCTCGGCGGTCCGGCACCCGCTGGGATGTCCGGCATGTCCGGAGTGGAGGATGACCGGCTGTCGGCGACCAGCACAACCACACTGACCAGCCCAGACCTGGGAGCCCCGGCCTGCGAGCGAGTGGAGCAGAAGGCGGTCCCCGTCATGGGTACAGTAGCTCAGCAGAAATATCGCCGGACTTTCTCCCCCTTACGTACACGGAAGTTCCCTCCGCCCGGACCGGCGGGGCAGTTGTCTCCCTTGCCTCCTGGTCTTGACTCAGTTATTTCCCTTAGCACAGACATTCCAGCAGAGACATCCCCCGCCTCACGCCCCGTGCCCGCCCTCATGCACGTCACTTCCGGCGATTCCCCCGCCCTGCCCTCCCCCTACGAACATTTACCTCAACCCTCAGTAAAGGGCGAGCCACCAGGCACGCTGACCCCCCAGATAAGTGCTGTGGACTCGAACTCTAAACCTTCCGCGCCTCTAGAGAAGAAGGTGCTCATCCACGGCGTAGAAGCGTCCCCGGGGTGTGAGGTCCGATACCCAGGTGGTCGCACAACCACGGACTTTCTGCAGGGTCAGTCTACAGCAGCAGGTACCACCCAGGACTCGCTCTCCTTGACCAAGGGAGAGAAGAGTGGGGGAGACGAGCGGGGAATCACGGGCGAGTTATCCCCCGCACACTTAACGGGTGATGGTCGTCGTGATGGTGGGACCCACGCGGCTCACCCTGACCTTGACCCTGACCCTGACCTCTCAGAAGTAGACAAGGTCAAGGCCGCCACGGTGGACAGGGAGTGCCAGACGTGCACCTGGTTGCTGGATGCCTACTACAAGGAGCATCACAAGTCCACGAAAAGGAAACGGGGTTTTAACATTTTCTCTCGGCGAAAGAGCCGGCGGAAGAACGTGGACGACAATGATGTACCCGGGGTGGCGGCGACGGTGGTGGTGGTGGAAGGGGGGAGTACAGGGGAGCGGGCTGTGCCAGACCCTTCTCCCACAGAGTCGTCACGTGACCCGGAGGAGGCTGGGGTCACGTGGCCGGCGACTTGCGCGGACCTCATAACGTCAGCGTCCCCGGAGAATGTTGTGGAAGACGAACAAGAACAGCAGCAGCAACAGCAACAGCAGCAGCCGGAGGCGAAAGCGTGGTCCGAGGAACAGATCCTGGAAGCGATGAGCCAGCCCCCGAGCCGCTCTTCCCCCTTCAAGAAGTCGGAGAGAAAGTCCAAGAACAAACGGCGACGAGGCAAGGAGGCGGCCACTAAAAGCCCCAAGTCTATCCTCAAACACACCTCATCCTCCCCTAGCTCACCGAGAGCTCCCAGAGGCAAGTCGCTGTCCACCAGTGACGTCACTGCCATTGACCCCACTAATGAGGTCACGGGTCATGAGCGGTCAGCAGATGATGATGGGTCAAGGTTAGAGGCAGCAGACGGGGATAGAGTAACCACAGCCGGACCTTCCACAGAGGCGTCGGGAGGGCCGGGGGTTCAGAGGTCACAGTCTGAGCCCGGGGAGGTAGTGAAACCCAAGCGGTTGTCCTTCACCGCCATTATCCTACTGAAGAACCGCATCTCCAGGTTCCGGGAGAAGAAGAAGGAGAAGAGGAAGGGGGCGGAGCTAGGCGAGGAGGTTCTGGAAGCGGAGATCCCCAGCGACACGCTCATCTCCATTGAGAACGAGCTGAACCTCAGCAAACTGGAGGTGAGCAAAGAGACGGATATACTTGACGAGGACTTCTTCCAACCAGAGTTCTCATTAGACTACAACAAAAAATCCATCAGGTTCGAACCCCTGCCACCCAGCGAGCCCATGCAGAGCGAGGAGCCTCTGCCACCTTTGACCCCGTCCACCACACGGAGATTACGTCATCGAAGGGAGAGCACTCTCCGGGAGCGGAGGCGGAAGTGCATCGCGTACTGCAAGAAGTTCGTGGCGTTCCTGTTCTCACATATCGGTCTGTGTTCTCTGGTGGTGGCTTACACCATCATGGGCGGCTTCATCTTCCGGGCTCTCGAGGAGGGGGCGGAGTCTAGCGTGAGGGGAGCTGTCACGGTGAGTGTTTGGCTGGGCTGTTGTTGTTGTTGGTGGTGGTGGTGGTGGTGATGGTGGTAGTGGTGGTTGTTGTTGGTGGTGGTTGTTGATGTTGTTGTTGGTGGTGGTGGTGGTGGTGGTGGTGGTGGTTGTTGTTGTTGTTGGTGGTGGTGGTAGTGGTGGTTGTTGTTGTTGTTGTTGTTGTTGTTGTTGTTGTTGATGGTTGTGTGGTTGTTGTTGTTGTTGGTGGTGGTGGTGGTGATGGTGGTAGTGGTGGTTGTTGAAGTAGGTGGTGGTGGTGGTGGTGGTGTGTGGTGGTGGTGTGTGGCTGGGTTGTTGTTGTTGTTGGGGGTTGTGGTTTTTGTCTGTTGTTGTTGCTGTTGTTTCTTGTTCGCTGTTGTTGTTGTTGTTGTTTGCTGTTGTTGGCTTAGGTAGGTTCTTCTTGTTATTGTTTTTGTTGGCTGTTGGAGGCTGATCTTGTTTGCTGTTGCTATTGTTTTAAATGTGAGGCAGCGTGGTGAAATCAGGCTCTCGTCAAAATAATCAAAGCGAAGAAACTTGCATTTTTCCGCAGGTTTGTGAATTTTTATCAAATTTTTGTTTTTGGGCTCAACACCTTTAATGCCAATTAAAGGACTAATTTCTGTGTGGATTTTTCTAAAAAATGTTGATTAAAGGCACAAAAAAATGTAAATTTTCAGTTACCACAGACACTTAAGCTAAGGAAATAACTAATCTTTGGCGGACATTTTCTCACTAATTTTACCTCTGAAAACAGGTGACCCCCACCTCCTTCTTTCGCAAATATCTCGAATTATATGCAAGATAAATGGATATTTTTTTCATCCAAATAAAGACAAGTGAATAAGTTTTAAGATGATACCAATGCCGCTATATGCCCAAAAATTGACGAGAGCCTGATTCCACCGCGCTGCCTCACAATTGTCTGTTGTAAGCTGGTGTAGGGTGTTGCTGGCTGTATCTGCTCATGTTGCTGATAAAGTTGTCTATGTGGGTTGTTGGCGGGTGCTCTGGTGTGGTCTACTGCTTCTTTCCTATCTAACATATATCGTCCTTATCTCTGCTCTCCTTCTTCTTTTTTATGTTTGTTACTCTCTTGTAACACTTCTAATCTTCTAGGCGCTGATATGCCCTTATTATTTTACGAGAGCCGTAAAACCTCTACTAAAACTAAAAACTGTCTCTTCTCCTTCTTTTTTGTGTTTGTTACTCTCTTGTAACACCTGTAATCTTCTGGCGCTCTTATGACCTTATTGTGTTGCAAGTGCCGTAAACTCTTACTAAAGCTAAAACTAAAGTCGTCATTGTTGTTCTTTGTTATGGCGGTTGTTACATCTACATTACTGGCGTCTATGGTGTTGACGCTGGGCGCCTAGCCGTGGCATGCAGAAGACTTGCGTTCGATTCCAGAGTGGGGAATATAATTTCTAAAACTATTGAGTACAATATGTATCTCTGTCTGTCGATTGGGATGTTATTTATCCCTCTCAACCCAGGTTCGTGGGTGGTTGGCGGGTGCTCTGGTGTGATTTGCTTCTTCTTTCCTATGAAACATCTATCGTCCTTATCTCCCCTTCTTCTTTTTTATGTATGTTACTCTCTTGTAACACCTCCAATCTTCGGCGCTCATATGACCGTAAGCAATTGCGAGCGCCGTAAAACCTCTACTAAAACTAAAAAACAACCCAGGTTGGTCTAGACAGGCGATGTTAAAGCGGTCTGTCTCCCCTCCCAAATAATCTAAATCGTGTCTTTGGGGCGTTTTCACACCAAAGGTTAACAGTCGGTCAATAAACAGTTGAAGCTATTTTGGTGATCAGAGATATTTTCTCTTTGTTATGGTAGTTGCAGGCTTCACATTATCAACCTTTTTATCCGGCTGTGAATGCTGGAAGGTTCCCAAAGACAGTGAACATAAAATAGTAGCTGTGGGCGGTTGACGGGTGCTCTGGTGTGGTTTTCTTCTTTTTCTCCTATCGAGCATCTGTCGTCCTTATCTCCCCTTCTTCTTTTTTATGTTTGTTACTCTCTTGTAACACATCTAATCTTTAGGCGCTCATATGACCTTATGCAGTTGCGAGCGCCGTAAAACCTGTACTAAAACTTACTAAACCTGTCTTTGGGACGTTGGACACCAAAGGTTAACAGTCAGTCAATCAACATTTGAAGCTATTTTGGTGATCAGAGGCATTTTCTCGTTGTTATGATAGCTGCAGGCTTCACGTTGTCAATCTTTTTAATGAACGGGCTGATGGGCTCGCTGGGAAAGCAAAACCAGAAGGGAAGCTGTGCCCCCGTGACAAACCTGAAACTGTACGTTCAGTCAGATTTAAAAAAGAGAAAAAGAACAAGAAGAGTCGGAATACCATCATCTTGAGCGACTTCGTGAGCTTGGAATTGGATGGGGCGCCTGCAGAAGTTTAAGACTTAGTGGGAGGAGCAGAAGGCTATGGAATCAACCATTGCTTGAAACCGTCAGCATCTACACACTTCGAGAAGTGCTTCTTCAGGGGACGGAGCGCTTATGGGAATACCCCTTGTGCAGTGATGTCGGTCCTTCACACAAGCAAAGAGTCTAACAAAACAAGAGGGGCCACTTCTCTCTTTGAGCCAATTAAAAAAGTGTCCTCAAAATTCGGTGGCGCCCTTTTCACAAATGCGCACCCTTTGCGAACAGGGTTACCCTACTTAAGTTTAAAAAATCAAAGTGAAACTAGCAAGTTTTTGAATAAATTTCGGGTGAACATTTGTTTAAAATGGTTACGCAGACGAAAAAAAAACCTCTTCCGGAGGAAGGCGTGATTGTTTTCTTCGTTTAATTTGACTTTAGAATGAAAGGCAAGAGGTCATTAAAATAAATAAAACCCAAAACGCCGCACTGAACGAACCCGAACTGCTGATGAACAGCATGCAAGGAGGTGCTATTCCTATTCTTCTTCTGGAAAAACAAAAGAGAGCTTCAAAACAGATTGCAGCGCCATCTGAAGCAAAGAGCGAACTTCCGGCGCACACGTTATTGGCTGAGTGGCCCATCTTGTTATTTACTATCTTTGACACAAGTAAACAAGTAAACCTTTTTTATCCGGTTGTGAACGCCGGAAAGTTCCCAAAGACAGTGAACATACAATAGTAGCAACAGAAATGACGTGCTTTAGTAGGGGACTGCTGAGAACACCCCGTGGAAGGAAAAGAAATCAAATGAAATAACAGTGAAGGAAGCCCACGTGGGCCGCTCCCTTACAATAACAGAAAGGGGGAAATGTATTGTAATGCTGTTTCTGGGTACTCAAAGGTATTGAATAAAGGGGGGG